CAAACTTTGTATATGATATTTTCTAATAGTGTCTCATTCCCAGGTGTAGACACAAACAGTACAGAATCAAGATTTTCAGGTAACACGTTCAAATATTTTACAAAAGCATGTGAAACAAAAGAATGTGAAGCACTAGTATCAATTAAAACATATGCAAGGTGATTACAGATAGTGTACGTACCCTATATCACGTCCGAGTTTGCTTCAGTATCTTGTTGGGTGAAGGTGTAGGCTATGCTCTAGATTAGAGGTCTGACCTAATTCTAATTCCGCAGGCACTCTCTCCCATAGTGTTGGACACTTCTATATATGCGGCAGCTATTGTTGAGACGATATTAGGGTCGGTCCCCATGATTCTTACCACAATGCTGGCAAGTCCTATTGCGTCCTGTTGCTGAAGCCTGAGGAGGAGCTTGAGTCGCAAGCCCAGATCTCTTGTTCTGCAAAATCGGTGCAGTGGGTGCTGGCCTGCGATGTGGAACTGGGGCCCTGGAATTTCCATTGCTAGAGGAAAGATGCGGAGGTTCCTCTCTATCAACTGTGCCTTGCCCAAAATTTCTTAGTAGATGCTGAGCTCGAATATATATAGTTGTTGTCTGATTTCAAGACGGAGATCCCATTCAAACTTACTTACCTTTCTGCCTACATTCATCATGCTATCAGGAGAGTATTGACCCAACTCCAGAAATTTTTGGACATACTCTTAGTGTACGTAACAGATTATCAATTGATTGAATTCATTTTAAAGTGATCAATTATGATTAAAAGGTCATATGTCTTAATATATCAGATTTAAGTATGAGTTTGTAATATGTGCAAATACCATATTTGTAATTTCTCATTTTATAATAGGCAAAATTAGAAATAATAAAAATCGACAATATAAAAAGCGGTAATGGTCCCCAAATCATAGGTGTGCATTTTGTTTATTTCCTATTTTTCTATCAGCAGTGAAATTAGAGTTTTTTACAGTCACGTATTAATTTAGAAAATCTACCATATGACGTAAAGATATCTTTCGTTATAGATTTAGATACGTTTTCGTAATCATACTCTTTGATTCAGTACGAATTTACTAATTGTTTTTCAGATCTAGTTTAATTTAATTTCTAACAATTAAATCTCATTACTTATATTTTTCACCTCATTATTCAATTTATTAATTTAATTTTTTTTTAATAAAAAAAAATTCATAGTGTCTAATGCTGGAACAACAGATGGGACAAGTAACTTACATCTGCTTAAACACACACGTTAACTTACCTGCTGGAACAATTAATTTAAAAGATTTCACATTTTATAAATGTTCAAGAGGTGCAAGAGACAGATGTAATATATATATATATATATATATATATATATAATACTAATACTTACTTACCAAGATCTACCAGCGGTATTTGATTGAAAGAGTATGGTACGAATGACTTTCTTTAATTAACCCTATCTTAATAAGAAAAGAAATTACATAGTCACTTTTCACTTTAATCAATCAACTTCCTTGAATGCAATCCTTCCCCCATTTTTAAAACGAACGAAAGAAAGAAAAACGGGAAGCGCCATGGGTTTAATGCGAGCGGGAAGATCCATCTCAGACAGAGCAGACGGGGAAAGAGATTTTATTAATTTAAAAGAAACCTGTTTAATTAAAAAAAAAAAAACCCACAAAAAAATGATTAAACCCTATAAATACCCATTCATTACAAATGAGAAATCAAGCAGCTCTCTTGTCTTTGGTTGGGAAAAAGAAAATCGACTCAATAAAATGTCTTCCATTAAAGTCTCAGAAGCAGCTTTAGCTCCAACTCAAAGCACCAAACAATGTATAAAGCGTCCCATAGAAAATTTCCAACCCAGCATTTGGGGAGACCATTTTCTCTCATATGATTCCACCTTACTTCTGGTAATCACTAAACTATTATTCATCATAATTATGTAGATACATATATTGTTTATGTTCATCTAATATATAAGTTTATTTTGTAAATAAAGAGTAGCAATACAATATGTATTTATTAGGATATAAATACTAAATTTGGTAAGAAATGATTAAGTTTTTAAATAATTAATCGCAATAGACAAGAATATTCAATAAGTTCAAGAATAACACTTCAAAAAATGTTTAAGTAACAATGTTATAGATATATTAGAGCTTTATGAAGCTTCATATTTACGAGTACATGAAAAAGATACATAAATAAAAGTTTTGATATATATGTTTTTTGTAGTGGTTAAATATAGATTAAGAAATAAATTGAAGCCTATTTTGCTGAAGCTAAGTGGTTCAACGAAAATCATATACCACCAATCGAAGAGTACATGCCGGTTACAATGCATTCAACTGCATATTACTTGTTCTTGATCGTTGCTTTTGTAGTTATGGAAGATACTGTAACAAAAGACATGCTTGACTGGGTTGCTAGCAATCCAAAGATTATGATAGCAGCAACACTTATTGCCAGATTTATGAGCGATATTGTTTCTCATAAGGTGTCTTTAAAATTTTTAACTGACTATTTATTACGTTAATTAAGAGTGCTTATCAATTCTAGTTATTATTTATGAAAATGATGGATTAATTTGTTTTACCTATGGAGTTAAGCTTTTGGGAAAATTGGTTTAGTCAATTTTTTAACATTATATTGAAGGTAGAGTCATGTATTTCATAAATCTCTATTTAATATACATTACTTTTGCGTCTACTTATTTGCCCAACTTTTAGAAATATTTTTTGCATGTGATGGACATGTTTGTATATAAACAATTCATTAACCTGATCATTTTCTATTAGCTTAAGAAAAAAATTATTTCACCTTGATTATTTAACATTTGTGTATTTATTCTAGAGACTGAACAAGAGAGAGGACATGTTGCCTCAAACGATAAGTGACTACATGAACCAATATAGTACGACCGTCGAAGAGGTTTACGTTGCACTAAAGAAGCAAATTGAAGACAAATGGAAAGATATTAATGAAGAGCTCCTTATGCCAACGATTGTACCAATGTCTCTCCTCACATTTGTACTTAAATCTTTCGAGAGTGATGAAAGAGCTTTATAAAGAAGAAAATGCATTTACAACAAATCGAAAGGCTACAGAAGATGCTGTTACTGAATTATTTATAAATCCATTGGTCATATGAATTATTTATGCATGAGATAATAGTTAATCATGACTTACATAGTCATGACATTTACTTTTGCTAGCCAAATTTTTTTAGCATATATATATATATATATTTTGTTAAAGAAATAGATAATTTATTAACAAGAAAAAATCAATCTTTGTTACCACAATGATCACCGTTGGTGCACCAACATCAATCTTGGTTACCTCATCAACATTTCTTAGCTTTTCATTTTGAGCCAGTGAGTTCCAAATGGGATTTGCAATTTTCCGTACCAAATTTCTTTAAGATTTCTTTGGCATACTACTCTTGATTGATGAACATACCATCTTCACCATTGGTGCACCTCCATTCCACTCTCCTAAGTCTGTCATCTCAAAAACCTTCTTCATTTCGGTCTTGAATCTGTGTACCAATTCCTTGTTGCTTCAACTTACCAAAAAGTCATTCACATAGAGTGAGATAACAAAGACATCGTTGCCTATTTGCTGCACATACAAGGTGGCTTCACTTATACTTTTGTTGAACTTCAAGTTAGACAAATGATCTTCAATCCTGCTGTACCATGTTCATGGGGCTTGGTTCAAGCCATACAATGCCTTTTTCAATAATAAAAAAAAAGTTCTTCATCTCCTCTAACCTCAAACCCTGGTGATTGTTCAACAAAAACTTCTTCCTTGAAGTGACAAATAAAAAATGTTGACATGATATCAAGTTGGTAGATCTTTCAACCTTTTTGAGCTGCTAAAACGATGATGAGTCTAATACTTGCCAAAGGAGCAAATTTATCAATATAATCAATTCCAAATTGCTGAGAATATCCTTTTTACAACTAACCTCACTTCTAACTCATTGATGGAGCCATCAGGATTTTGCTTGGTTCTGAACACCATCTTAACCAAGTCCCATTCTTGTCAATAGGCCTTACTATTCTTCTCTATCATCTTCAACTCCTCCATAATTGTTTTCTGATCAGGGGATCTCAAGGCTTCCTTAATACTTCTTGGTTCTAATAAGGCAAGACTGCACCTCTCAAAATGTCTTGCAAAGTTCTTGTTCCTCTCAAATGACTATTTTCACAATCTTTCTGATAAGTCTCGAGAGAAAAAAAAAGTCAAAAGAATAAACCGCAAATCTCCCATAACTTCTGTCTCTAATACTTAAGTGTTGTGGTGCCAATTTGTGGATCTTATTATGGAACAAGTAACCCAAAAATCAATAGGTATGAAAGGTTGTTTTTGTGGTTTTCTTCCTATAGCTATTTTGATAGAAATGTATGGACTTGTTTAGAGAGAACTCAATGATCTCCTAGAGTTGAAGTACTCAAGAAAATTTTGATAAATTTTCTGCATAAAAGTTGGACATTTTGCAGGACAACAGCAGATCTTTAAATATGCAAAGAGAGTAGTTATGTGGAAATTAATCTCTATCTACTACACATAATTTTGATCAAGATCAAAATTTTCCTCTAGTCTGAGACATTATTTGTCTTTGTGTATATCGTAAACCTAACTCCTCTTATTTGGAGGAATCACATGGATTAAGGTCGCTCCGAGAATTTTCTTCCCTAGTTTTTTAGGATAAATGTTGTTTATCTACCTTGATGTAAATATTTTTTTTTTACTAAAATAAATTAGAACACCCTTTTATCTCAATTGCCATAAAAGAAATAAAATAGAATGAAATATATGAATTTTTTTAACAAACACTAGATAATCTCCTTATTGCAGAGAGTGAAAGAACCTCTGCCACTTCGATATTGAAAACTTGGCGAATTAGGAAAAAACAAATATTCAGACTACACTAACTAAGATTATATATATATATATATAAACTCAAATGTTTTTGAAAACATACATACAAGAGGGAAACAATAAATTCCAACATTATTAGTATAAGTAGGACCTGCAGAATCTTTCTTAGAAGCAAATATTGCAAAAACTTTGATAATTTATTGTGGCCAATCTTGGAAGAGCAGGGATGCTTGACCTTTATGTTTGATCTCCGTCTTAGTCTCCTGCTCCCTTTACTTCGTTTGTAGCAGAAAATACAAGACTTACATACATCGGGTGCCGAATATATTGTTAAAATCAAGACTTGTTAGGAGCGACACATTCCCAGTGGACTATAAAACTACATTCAGACTGTGACACACATTCAAGTGCCAAATCTGAGCAGGGTTGGCCGCAAGAGTTACAGGAAGGATACTTCTCTGTCTTATTCACGAAACGGAGGGAGTGTGGGTGAGACTCAATTGTGTAAGTATCTCCAACCTTAATATAAGGATACTTGCCAAATACACACTCAGGATGAATGGTGACACCGCAATCATCACAGTAGTAGAACCAATGTTTTGGATCTCTCTTATCTTCGCATACATCGCAATAAAGCTGATCTGAATCTGAATCATCCTTGAAGGTGAGTTTCAGAGGATGGTCGTCATAGCTATGCATAGCTGTGGGTGGTAGTGCAGCACATTTGAAATCAAGAACATAGACACATTGATGGCAGTACAGTCCGTTCTTCCCGGGCGTACCACAGCCTTGGCAATATAACACATCATCATTCAGGAAGAAGGCAAAGAGGCTATGTTCATGAGCTTGATGGATAAGGGTGTCTGAAATCGAAGAACAGCGAAGATCGAGATCAAAACTGCATCTCTTGCAGTTGTAAGAGAAGCCGTTGGAGTAGGTTGAACAGACATTACATGCGAAGACTCTGTTAGAATGAGGTGATTTTGGTCGAAGAGTAAGTGTATGCGGGTGAAATGGGGAAGGTTTTTTTATGGGTAATTCAGGACAAGTTTTATGGAGGGAAGAAATCACACCCTTCACAGCTATAAAATGGAGACGAGACGGGGTATTCCGCATCCATCACAACCTTTATCATCCTTACCCTCGTTACTGAAAATCAAGGTATGGTCATGGCTGAAATGCTCAATTTCAGCTGCAATCTTGTCTTTCACCCAGCTTGATTTCCTTAGACCCTGATTATAGAATCTAGGCTGATCTCACTGCTCTCCGTATCATCTTCTCATCACATG